TGCTTAAACATCCAGCATCTCCATTAACAGGCACAGATTATGCACTTCTTCTCTATGCTTAAACATCCAGCATCTCCATTAACAGGCACAGATTATGCACTTCTTCTGTATGCTTAAACATCCAGTATCTCCATTAAGAGGCACAGATTATGCACTTCTTCTCTATGCTTAAACATCCAGCATCTCCATTAACAGGCACAGATTATGCATTTCTTCTGTATGCTTAAACATCCAGCATCTCCATTAACAGGCACAGATTATGCACTTCTTCTCTATGCTTAAACATCCAGCATCTCCATTAACAGGCACAGATTATGCACTTCTTCTGTATGCTTAAACATCCAGCATCTCCATTAACAGACATAGACACTGTTCATTTTCTGTGTTTTTAAAATGTAGCATCTTGATTAACTGAAACAAAGACGCTTCAGATCTTCTGTGTTTTTAACATGCAGCATCTCCATTAACCTCGACATACGAGTACATGCAGTTTTGGAGATAACACTCGTTATCTCCAAAACCGGCACCGAAACCGTATGTAATGTCCGGCAGCTCTAGAAACTGGAATACAGACGTTGCACATCTTGTGGTCCAGCTGTACCTGTAACATCCAGCATCTCGTCTCCTATCATCGAGACGCGCTCTATCGCCCACGCGTGACGCCTCGCCTCATAGATCGCGCCACCATCAACACAACTGAGCGATAATGCGTTTACCTCGTCTGCCATTCACCCCCGCCGCGCAAGCATTACATCCCTCCCCCAATAAGCGAGCTCCTCATGTATTCAGTGGTCCATTCATCTCGAAACAGCGTCCCCTTCCTTACCGCCGTCCGCAACAACCACTGACAAGTCAAAACATTTTCGGAAACTTTATTTCGAAAGCTTTTTCATAATGACTTCTCTGGTACACTCACAGAAGTGATCTGCGCCCTACGCCCCAGTGATCAAATCAGTGATATTTCTTGCTTCGTTGCAGTGAAATGAGGATTTCTTCTACGTTCTTTCAAATTCATTTTCTTCTTCTCTAATCCTAGCATTCCACGTCACATGTAGCCTGAACTAAGGGCAGAGTCCACAAGCGTACTGAGTAAATTTCGTTAACATCTTTGGGTGTTCACTGTTAGGTCCGCGGTAGGGAACACGCAACTGAAGGAGAAATATAAGGGAATCTGCCGTATTCTCTTGTTTGCCGGATTATACATCAGTGTGCAACAGGAAGGCCCTGCGACCGACTATATCGACACTGTTTTAATGTTTTTTCTCTCTCTATAAAGAAGTTACAAGTTTATATTGTGTGCTTCTCAATCACCCCTGCAGATTTAAACTGGTCTCTTGCCGTAAAGACTAGCAATTATTTTCCTCCAACTTACAGATTTGAACAGTAATTCATAAAACGAAAATTCGGCGGCCCTTCTCCCAAGCCAATGTTTCTAACAACTCCGACGTCTTTATTTCATGATACTGTTGGGCGGACGAGCGGGTGAAAATACTCTTTCTCCCCCCTCCCCAAATAAATTCATTGTTGGACGCTTATATTAGATACCTTTCTGTTAGTGATGTTAGTTAATCAAATAATGAAGCTAGAAAGGTGACGTAATCTATGAAAATAGATCATACTAAATGTAGCTACACAGTCTATTTGAAGAATGTTTTGTATGAATGTTGTATGCCATGGTCACGAAACAAAATTTTTGGTTATGTATTGATAACTTTGAAGTAAAAAGAATTTACAACACTGGAACTTTATTTTTAATTCCCTTAGTGGGGTGTGGAGTCCAACTGAGTTCACTCGGCACGGCGGCCACTGATTGGCCTATTGTAGCCTGCCCCGGTTGATTATGATGATGGAGAATTTGGTGGAATGAAGATTGGCAGGGGAAACCGAAGTATTCAGAGAAAACCCTGCCCCAGCGTTACTTTGTCCACCACAAATCCAACTTGACGAGACCCGGGATCANCGTCCCACGTACACTCGGCCCACCACAAATCCCACTTGACCAGACCCGGGATCGAATCCGGGCCACCGCGGTGGGAAGCCAGCGACTAACCGCTTGAGCTATGGCGCGGTCTTATACTGGGACTTACTCACAGAAATAAATACATGATTTGAGCTATTATCTTGCGCGGAAGTGTATTACAGGTTGAAGCAAAACACATGTTTAAATTATTTTAACAGTCATGTTCCTGCCTCACAAAGAAACATTGCGTCTCCGTTACAACGAGTAACTTTCTGACACGGATATAATCAGTGTTTATTTTGAGAACCACAGGAAGCACAAATACACTTTATGGACAGTATTCAGAGTTTCTGAATGCTAAAGCAGGAGATTATTTGTGGTAAACAATCTTCTTTAAATGGCTGTAGCAGATGAGGCATCAAGTTATCTTTTTCGTAACTTTTCATTTTTGTTTAAGTAATTGTTCATAATTTGCTGTAGATAAAGGTAAAGTTGTTCCTGTGCTTAACTAATTAAGCACTACGCCATAAAGGTGTAGGAGGAAGTGGATGTATAGATCCACATTTTCTTGACCCCGGTACTAGCTAGAGGTGAGTAGTCAGCTTCACGCCCCTGCCGCTTTAACCCCGTGGAAGAGCCCCCAGTACACATTGGATAGGAGGTTGGATGGACCCCAGAGCCGGTCTAGACGAAGTGGAGAAGAGAAAATTCTTAACCCTACCGGGACTCGAACTCCGACCCTCGGTCGCCCAGCCTGTGGGCAGTTACTATATCGACTGCGCAATCCTGGCTCCTTAATTTGCTGTAGTGGAAGTAAAATACGAATTACATGGAGCGGTGTAACCTGTTTTACCCTGATGTAGATATGAACGATGAATATGATTCTTTTTTTAATTTACTATGAGATTTAAATCCCACTGAACCACTTGAGAATTATTTGTGTAATTTTGTGGTGGGATATGAAATAACTACTCTAATAGTTGCAAGTAAAGGCACAACTAGTTTAATAGACGCTAGTATAAAAGGGGCTGGCGCGGAAACAAGGTCAGGGAGAACTCAGTAACTCAAAAGTTCATGTCTCTTCAGCAGAATACAAGCCTAAATATAATATAAATTCAGCAGCTACTAGGCCTGTGCCTGAATCTCCTAAAATATGGTTACCTTGCAGTAAATTTTTGCAAACGAGATTAACAAATCAGACTGATTTTCGCTAAGAAATTAAGGGCACATCAAATTCGACGTAAGTTTGCTTCGGTCTACAATTACAGAGAGTGGATATACAAACTGACTACAATATTACCCATGTAGGATTTAAGGTTCTCATGACGTCTCTGTGATGAATACTACTTTCTTGGACGTGACGCTGTGTAGTCTGGTAGAAGTTATAGACATTTCGGACTAACATAGTATCTCCATCTTAAGGGTCGAAAAGCAGTCCCAGAAAGCAGACGATGCTTTCCAGTTTGGCTTACTCCCCTCTTTGACACCAGCTTTCTTCTTGCTGTTTATTGACTTAGCTTACTTCTCAATCCTGAAGGTGGAAGCATTACCTTTCTGCGAAACGTTGGTAAATTTTTACCAGCCTATTAACTGTCATGTCCCAGAAGTTAGTAACTTCTGGGACATGACAGTGAATATATTGTGTATTATATGTTTGTTAAACGGGCGTAAAACTTGACTTTTCTCGCTAAAGGAAGCATGCAGATTCACTTAACTCTAATGACGTATGACTAAGATATTGTCACGTGTATTAGTGAATAAAGACGGGGTTCGGATAGGTAATTGGATTTATTGCCCACCTACAGGTCGTAACTACAAATAATTATAAGACTATTGCTTATTTACACAATTTACAATCACTCCACACTGATCTTCTCAGTCTATTTCCACTAGTCTTCACTGTCCGTCCCCTGGCAACGGATTCATAACACAGGAACTATAAAAGTTTCACTAAATTACACACTCCCAATATTGATTTACTACAGCGAAAGTAACGTCACACACTAAGTCTTCTAATTCTTCTTCTGGCCACATTTCTGTTTCCTTAGAACGTCGGAACTCAAGTCCAGCCAATTTCCATTCCCGCATTCTCTCATATCCTCTCGGCACGGACCGCTCACAGAAATCACAGCCCTTATATTGTTGCATAGCGCAGACTATACAGAAAACACGTGTCAGACTGCGAGTTCATTGGTCCGTTACCGCATTAGGCGTGGCGTGGACGACATAGGAAAAACAGCCTCATCTGTTGTTGCGTCCTGGACCGTGTTTTCAGAGCTGTTGCCTGGCAACGCTTTGATCAATCCATTACAATGTATGTTCATGCACTGACAATTTACATAAGGCAATGTTAAAAAAATTAATATATCCAGTTTAATGCAAATAGCCATACTCCACAAATATAAACATTCTTTCTAACAGTTTCTGTATTTCCCTTTTCTAATACAAGGTAATGATAATATTTGAATCTAAGAGGCCTAGTAAAAGGACGCTAAGGCGAATATGGGAGGATAATATTAAAACGAACCTTAGGGAAGATTTTCTCGATTGAACTGACTCCGGTTATGGTCCAATGGCGGTCTGTTGTAAGCATGGTAATGAATCTTCAGGTTACATAAAACACGAGGAATTACTTTTAGAGCTTGGCAGGTATGAGCATCTCAAGAAGAATTCGGCTCTATAGAACACTGAAAAGTAAACTCACCATAAGTACTGGATATTTTAATATGAAGTATTACGGCTAAGTTTCTCATTAAACGAAATTATTTTTTTTTTGCGTTCACGTAGGTCTGTGTACATTTTATCGCTTCATTTTACTTTAAGCGACGATTTTTAAGTTCAGGGAATTATTTATTCTTGTTGTTCGATCAGAAATTAGAAACAGTTTCCTTATCACTTTTGTATTGATTTTATTTTTGTATATTTTCTTGATAGTGGCATTTATTGCATATAATTTATCTTGAGGAACAATTTAACGCGTCCTGTTTTAGGTTCCACTTTCCAGTAGAGAGGTTATGCTATTTTTCGCTTCTGTTTGCAGGTCAGAGTCGTTGGGAGTGGGATCCGGGGTTTCCTAGACGCGAGCGTCGAGTTCTGTAATTGGTTAAAATACGTCCGTTCTACGAATGAGAGTGAGGCTCAGAATGTACGCACCTTGCTATTGGCTGGCCAGGTATGTCACTGCTATTGCGTAGTCACTGACGTCTCTGTCATTTCTTCTTGTTCCTCTCTCACGTGATATCACAGCGTCACAAAACTAACTCTCTTATTAAGTGAATGGCGTTTTCAAAGTACGAAAATACTAACCTCTTCAGATTATATTGACTGTACTTCAAGGAATATAACATCGACATTATTTTAATTTTTATGAGTTTGTATATATTTAATTAGCACATTCAGGCGGAAGTAATGAACATCACCTCCAGGTTCTGTAAGGGATTGAACCCTGACACTGAGAGAAACCAGAGAAGTGAAGTGCACTCATGGGTATTGGGTTTAAATCGGCCTAGACGTGAACCTGATCACACATCCATCTACTGTCCAGACGGACCTATACCTCAACACTCCCTACTCTTTTAGTGTTTATTGCTTAAATAAGCAATGGGAGAACTTTAGGAATAGTCATGCCTATAATGAAGCTAAGAAGATATTATCAGGGTTCGTTTTATGGTCTCTGTTTTGTTGAAATAACTGGAGGTTCAACAAATATTTGGTTCTTCCCTCCGAGTTCGCATCGAAAAAAACTGTACATCTTAAATTCGCCATATTTGTCTTCCATGAAAAACCCGAGATTTGCTGAATAGATTTGTTATGAATTTACATCATTGGAAATATAACTAATATGTGTGGCCACATTTCAGTTAACAATAACAGACAGCTTGAGCTGGCTAAAATAAAATTATTAACACGCTTGGATTTTATAACGATAATATTTATGCTGATGGAGATAGGACATACACGTAACTTTATTATAAAATATTATTTTTGGTCACTCTACAACTGGCAGTGAAGAGACTGAAGTTGGTAAAGCACGGGTAGGACAGCTGAACTCCATCTTATCGATACCCTGATGACCGAGTTACGATTGTGAACAAACTGACGGACAGATGACAATCACATCACGCCATCTTCTCATTTATGACGACCTTTCTCATGACAAGGTGCTTCTACACTTGTAGCTTTATTTTTCCTTTGTACTAGAAAACTGTGAACTTCTTTATGCAGGTTAAAAGAATCGCTTCATCAAACATGCAGGTTCCAAGCAGTTACAGTGACGTCAGACGGTTCTCATAATATAGATCTGATGCCAGATGAGATTATTGAACAATATTATTTTTGCTAACAGTATCAGGGAAACGGCAGTTGTTCATCCGGAATTTTATTAAATTAACCCGCGCTAGCGTAATTGGTTGTGGCACTATGCTACAAGCCGGAAGGTGGCGGGTTCCAGCCCCGATGAGGTCGATTTTTCAATTGACCTAATCCTTCAACCCCCACTGTGGCCATGAGGACGACTCAGCCTCTAACGGAAATGTTTACCGGGAATCTTCCTGGGGGTAAAGGGCGCCCGGCGCGTAAGGCTGACAAACTTACCTCCACAAGTGAGCCGATTGTTTAGAGAAAATGTGGCAGCCTCGACTCCTCATAACCCTATGGGCCTTCACGACCTGTTGCAGGGATAGCTTTACTTTTTTTTTTTCCTTGGCACTACAGACTCAGGGGGCCTAGGCCTACCTTCATGAACTTCTCCGTTCACTTCGGTTTTTTTCTAGATCTTACACATTAGGCAGGACTCCTTGGGCGGGTGATCAGCTCGTCGCAAGGCCTCTACCTGTAGACAGACACAGAAAAACGCACACACACAAACTAAACATCCATGCCCTGAGTGGGATTGTAACCCACGATCCCGGTTTCCAAGCGAGCGAAGACAGCGTATGCCCTAGACCGCTCGGCCACCGTAACCGGCCGCCTTACATTTTTACCAGCATTAAAATAATTAAATTCCTTAATTATTTTGAAAATCTTGCACGTATACAGAATTATTCTAAATTATTGTTGGGATTTCCGTAATATATAAACGGAAATACCGACAATAATTTAGAATTACTCTGTACGAATATATTCAGGTTGACCAGTAGTATAGCATTTACCTCTGTGGGGTCCATTTGGCGATTGTTTTGTGAACCGAAATGTTCGCAAGCAACGAAACTGTGATGGACATAGATAATTTCTACACCTGAAAACGGTTATGGTCGCAAAGCAACTTGAACAGGGACGGAGAGAAACAGGGAATAAATACTGTAGTGATGGATAAGTGGGACATATAGAACGCATAGTTCAATTAAAATAGATAAACTTCTGGCTCCATATCCTTCAGGAAAATAATCTCTTACGAAATCTGGGTTTAGTTAAGATAAAGGTAAATTTGTCCCTGTGTTTAACTAAGTAAGCACTATATCATGAAGGCGTATGGGGGCGTGGTTGTATAGTGCCACATTCTCTTGTCCTCGGCACTAGTTTGAGGTCAGTGGTCGACTTCACAACCTGGCCGCTTTACCCCCAGGGAAAGAACCCCCGGTACCCATTGGATAGGAGATTAGGTGGGCCCCAGAGCCGTTCTGGACGACGTGGAGAAGAGAAAATTCTTGCCATTACTGGGACTCGAACTCTGACCTCTTGATCGTCCAGCCCATAGTGAGTCGCTATACCGACTGAGCTATCCCGGCTCCCGGGGTTAGATAACAGAATGATATTGTATTGATCCTTAGAGAAATAGGTCGTGGACTTGATTTGCATGGTATAGGATGGGGTCATCTTGTAAGCTTTGTGAGAACTATTATAAACGTCGGCTTCCACGGAAACATGTAATCCTGCGACCTGTTCGGTAACTTTTAATTGATGAAGTAAGGTCCTGTACTATTGAGGTACCTAGTGAGTTATAACATATGTTAATGATCTTAAAAAAACAATGAAATGAACCTCTGAAATTCCAAGTGTCGAAATTTTGTCATTTACAAACATTGCTGTGTCTTACAGCGTGTGAGTTATTTTTTGGCATTTTATCTTAAGTAGAGTGTGAAGAGCCGGTCTAAGGCATGCACTGTTTTCGCTCGCTCGGAAGCCGGGATCGTGGGTTCGAATCATACTCAGGGCATGGTTGTTTGGTGTTTGTGTGTGTATGTGTGTTTTTCTGTGTTTGTGTACAGGTAGAGAGGCCTTGCGTCAAGCTGATCACCCGACCAAGGAATCCTACCGATTGTTTAAAATCTAGTAAACCTAAGTGAAACGGAGAATTTCATGGAGGTAGTCCAAGGCCCATATGGGGCTGCAGCGCCAAAAGAAAACAAAACAAACAGAGAAGAAAGAGTTAGAGGGATTTTTCCGTATATTTGAAGTTCATAGACAGTTTTTATACAATATCTACTCATGACAGAAGAGCAACTTTGACAATCTAAAATGGCGGTTTGGCACTCAAGGTTTAAAGCTGATGACAATAATGGTGTTATGATGTAGTTAAGGTGCTGATACCAAACACCAAGAGATAACCCACCGTTTCTCTGTAGAATCACAAGAAATGTAGGCCGTAACAGCGTCGGATCAATACGCCTGATCAGGAAGAGGTGAGGGGGGTGTAAGGTGTTCCAACTCATGTGATTGCCATCCAAGACAGGAGACAAATAACATGAGCCCGTCTTGTCACCAGTTCGGGTGGGTCTGGCTATATAACACCCAGCCAAGAAAAATAATAATGCAAACGACATATTGAGGCTGGGAATATGGCAGGTGGCGCTTTTCTTTTGCGTTGCTCGCGATGTTCACTTCATGCTCTCGTTCATTTGTGAGTGTCAAAAGGAAGGAGAGGTAAAATAGTGGGAGGAGGAGAAAGTGAGGGGAGAAGATCTAATATGGACGGGGCTCTATTTAACAGTGCCTACTGGAGGGATACAGTAGTTAGCAAAAAAAGAAAACTATGTGGTTTTAGTCCGCAAGCGAACTATACCGACCGAGCGACCGCCGCTTGTCGGCGAAGTTAGTGCCAACTTTAGCGGATGGAGGTCGCTTGGTTAGCGCAACGGATCCCTACGCCGTTAATCTCGGGTTTCTAGACCGGATCTGCTATTTCCTTGAAAGAGCTCCTCAATTATCCTCACGAGGCTGAGTGGACCCCGTACCAGACGCACTACTTCTCAGAAAATGTGGTATCACCGGGAATCGAACCCGGAACCTCTTGATCTGTAAGCAGGAACTGTGACCACTAGACCACAGAGGCGGTCGCAGTAGTTAGCACTCCTATTTTATAAGTCCTGCTGTGTCTGAGTTAGTTACACTAGCCCCTCAGGAAAGTTCCGAAGCAGTATATTAAAATATGTCACGACCGCTTCCACTACTCTTTATAGGGGCTTAATATCCTACCCTTCATTAAGCATCACTTACATCGTGTTGCAACCGACGAGATCGTGGACCTAAGCAAGACCAGGGGAACAATTCGCCGTTGCACCGTAAAATAACCGGACAAAAGCACAGACATAGGCAAATTGTTGGAACAAAATGGCAAATGCAAGAAAATAATAAATAAATTAAATAAAATATATTGTCACGTATTAGGGGTTTGCGTGACTAATAATAATGGGTTCCGGATTCGATGATTGGATTTACTGGCACTCAGACTCAGTGACTATCAACCACTCGCTCCATGTGTTACTGGACTACGAGTGTCCCCCTTTCCACTGTGACGAATTCCGTAAGAATAATCTCTACCGGATGAATTCTCCTGTGCTGAACTAACTTCCATGCGGACCGAATATACTTGTAGACCATCTTGTCGAATAGTTGATTGTCCTTCCGTCTGTTGTTACGGGAATCTCTTTTTAACGACCCGCTATTCGTTGCAGCGGGAACGTGTTTACCGAGCCGTTGCTCAGCAGTGGACGTCTGCTCTGGTTCCACTATTCCGCCTTTCAGCTGTCATATGACAATATGTTCGAAGTATGTCAGAATAAATTCTAAAATTGCTGAAGTAACGGGACAGAATTGTGAGTACAACGCAGTGGAACCAAATCACAAACGTAAGGCTATACGGAACAAAATCGTAGGCATCTTGACAAACTGACAGAAGAAATTTATTGATATGGGTAAAGTAACGAAATCACGTGTTGGCAAAATGACACAGAT